TGTTTTGATGCTCAAATATCCTCAATTTGATCATCTCAACATCAAGATGCATGGACACGAGAAAAAAATGGATTTCAAGTTTTGGAAATAGTGTATTTTGTAACGCATTTTTGGACCGTCAATTTTAGAGATTTTCAAGTTTTCATAGATCTGTCGATCTACACTATTTTTTAAGCTTTAAACTTTATAAATAAAGATGGAAATATATTTTAAGGCTATTACAAAGATGTCCAGTATTGAAACTACATTTCTCGGCACTATCTGAAGGTAGGCTCTAAGGTGATTGTTTAGAGCCTAGGCTTTATGCAAACCGCACCCTTTTATTAAAGTGGCAACATTTTTTGTAATGTGACTACTTTGAGAAGTTCTCAGAATCGATATTGATGCGGTATTGATATGAAGTGTATGCTTGCTTTGTAATGCATTCAGTAGCTGGGCTGTTAATTTTCTCAAATTACTTTCACGTCACAGATAACGATCTAGAGATTCCACCATCATTTTGTTATCTTCGTAAAATATTATACTGGTTTGAATTTTTTTGGGTAATTTCAATAATTATTTGACAATAATGCAATTGCGTTGCAAACACGATAATATATATTTGAATTTGCATGGAATAATATACTAATCTGAATTTCCGCTGACTCTGACGATTTTCTATTCACAACTGATTGCACAAACAATCTGTAGCATTTAAATTCTTGAGAATGCAGAGATATGCTTGATGGTTTCTATAGCATGCACAGGAAGGTAGTCTGCTCTCTGTTCCCGAGACTGACTGGAGATGTAGTAGTTTGTACAGAAGGGCTGCCATGTCCTTACTGAGATAATGTTCAGCTTGGCTTGGGCGCCGATGGTGGGTGTCATTGCCCATGTAGGGTATCACATATCATGTTCATGCTGCATTGTCCCTCAATTCTTTTTATGGCTCTGCCCAACAAAAAAAAGATGATTGGGTTAATATATTTGGGATCCAGGTGGCTTTTGTTACTATCCATTACGCTAGTTGGAAAGGAAGTTTTAGATCCTCTTTTGTGGTGCGTAATTTGAGCACCTCAGTGTTATGAAACTCTCTTTTCCCCCTCCTCTCTTTCTCTCTCTCTCTCCCTTCCCCGCCCCCTCCATCAACCCCCCACAAAATAATATCTATTTTTTCTGAGAATTGTTCATACGTACTTATTTCTTTCTATGTTCGAGGCTTTTTTTTTTTGGGTAAGAATCTATGTTCAAGGCTTTAAGTTACCTGTATGACATGAAAGCCTTTTGCAAGTTTATTCTTCTTGCTTTGTTTCTATTTTCTTGACAAAGTTAACCAACATTGCAATCTCTGCAAATGGCATCAGGATGATGGCGACTGTAATGAACTCCATATTGCTTCAGGCTTCCATTGAGAACCTTGGCACTCAGACTCGCTTGCAGACTGCTTTTAAGATGGCGGAGGTTGCAGAGCCCTACATTAGGCGTCGTGCTATACGACACCTTGAGAAAGGCAGGGTGGTCATATTCGGTGCTGGAACAGGAAACCCCTACTTTACCACTGATACAGCAGCTGCCCTTAGAGCTTCAGAGAGTATGTGGTCTCTCTCTCTCTCTCTCTCTCTCCAGAACCCAGGATTTTTGAACCTTTAACTTTGCAATAAGTTTTGGAAGTTAGCCTTCGAAAATTTATTGTTATAATTTTGCATACTGTTTTTGCAGTATTAGCCAGCTACCTGTGTGATGTGGTCTCAGAATGAGAATTTTGATGTGTTTCCTGTTTGTTTCCCTCAGTAAATGCAGAAGCAGTTCTTAAAGGGACAAATGCTGATGGACTTTATGATTGCGACTCCAGAAACAGTTCCAATGTGGGTTTCGAGCACATGTCATACCGAGATATGATATCCAGAGGTCTCTCTGCATCCATGGACATAACTGCAATCCATCTTTGTGAAGAGAACTGCATCCCCGGTTTATGATCTCTCTCTTTCTCTCTGAATATTTTTTTTATTGCTTGTTTTTATCTCATTAAATCATACTTTTTGGGATGTTCGATTTTTGAAGAAAATTCCTTTAAAATGATAAAAAGAAAACTGTATCTGAAATAATTTCCTGCTGTTGCAGTTGTAATCTTTAATTTACTCGAGCCAGGAAACATTTCAAGGGCATTATGTGGGGATCCGGTAGGCATCCTCATCGATCAGTCAGCTAGGATTAGCTAATGTGTGACCCTTTCCCTTTCTTCCTTCTTTCCAAATCAAAGATGCAGTCAGATAATGAAGGACTTCGCTGGCTGCTAATCTTATCAGAACATTGATAATCCCAGCTTATTCGCATGGCCCTTATTATGGGTCAACACTGGATTAATACAACTTCACCCTATTACACATGTTTGGTTATTGAAGATGTACAGCAAAGAATTCACAGCAATGAGACCTCCCAGCAGTTTGATTACTGATGTGTGTGTGAGAGAGAGATGGAATGGAAATCACTGCAGAACCATTGGGTTGTGAACGACGAGAACTTTCGCTTCTGTGAATATGGATAGCATGGATTGTTAAGGCAGATCTGAAGGTCTCTGTATATGGAAAGACGTGTACTCTGAATTTTGGCTGTAAAGTTTCCAAAAACTCCCTAGTGAAGGCCAGTTGCAAGCAAGGCAGTGGCTGTCATGCCATTTGACTGTGGAGGGAGTTGTAATGCTGTACTCAAGGAAATGGTTGTAATTAAGGAAATGGTTGTAATCGCGGTTAATTCCAATAGACAGGGTTTGTGTTAGATATATAGAAATATTGAGTGTAACAGAAATCAGTGGAATGGATTAATGTTTTCTTGTATTCCCCAACAGTTAGGGGAAACTTGTATTAGGGATTGATTTGAATTTTGTTTGTCCTCAATTAAGGACTATACAATCCTTCGCTCTCTCTCGAAACTTGGTTCTAAAGACTCTCAAGGCCTCGTGAGTTCCTCCGAGCCTTTAGCCCTTTCTACTAATTTTTCAAAAGAAGGGTAAAAATACTGACTGAAGATTACCATTGTCCTGTGGACCTCTGTTGAACCACAGTCATTGGGGTCTTCACAAATACCATTTTCAATAGTGGAGGGTATGAGAGTTGCCCTTTGTTATATGGAATAAGTTTATAAGTTCTACCTTATGTAGAACTACGGATGCCCTTCAAAAATCCATCGAGAAAAGTAGTTTTAATTTTGAAAAACCTTGTGATTGATCATCTCGACATCGAGATGTATGACTATGAAAAATAAAAAGATTTAAAGTCTCGTATTTTACAACATATTATCTACATCGTCAATTTTTTAGATTTTCATATGTTTATATATCTATTTGATTTTAATCATTTTTGAAATTTAAAATTTTATAATTAGATATAAAAATACATTTTGAGATAATCCTAAAAAAATTTCATCAAAATTATATATCATAGTAAAATTTGAAGGTGCACCTTACTTCTACACCTACAGTATGTAAACTCACCTCTATACCCAAACTGCGCCCTTGTTATATTATTATTACGAAGGATTAACAGTACAGTATGCATCCGTATGCAAACTGCACCCTTGTTATATTATTACAAAGGATTAACAGTAAAGTGAAGTCCCATAGAGTCCCAGTTTATTGTGATATTTAAAATGGGAGGTAAACATTATTGGAGGGAAATTTTATCAAGAGGGAAAAATTATTAGGATTAGTGTTCTGAAAACCAGCAGTTTAATTCGGAATCCCCCGAGTCAAACTGAACTCGGTGAGTTATGGGGCTGATTCTCTCTTGGAATCATGCGAGTTGGGCCTGCACTCCCATTTCAAGCAAAACCAGAAAAAATGGGTAGTTTAGGTTGGTGTGGCAATGAGTCGCCAGACCCGAAAAGTTGATATGGGACCCAAATCCTGACCCGGACCCAACTTAAAAATTAAAATATTTATGTATTTAATTATATTTAAATATATTTCATATATTGGGACCCGAAAATATTACCGGACCTGGACTCAACTTGCCGGGTCCAATTTTTGAACCCATACTTGGACCCGGGTTGGGTCTACTCTATGAGTCCCGGGTCGGGTTTGGGTCCAGTGCCACCCCTGAGGTTCAGTCATGCTTTGGTCTCTTTTTGATGAAATATTTGATCCAAATCTATTTAAACCTATGTAATTGATCAATTTTGAACACAACCATCCAAAACAAGTTAGGCATA